TGACCTCTCCTAAGTGCTGTGACTAGCCCTACCTTGAGCTAGAATTGTTTCATAGATCTGCATACATGAAAAATCACAGTGGTGGAGAGAGTAAATGAGGAGGCTATCTTGCAGGCATTTTCAAGATTAGGAACAGAATTCTATACAAAAAACAACCACCAATGGCACTGTGCACACTCACTTTATACATATTGTAATAAACACATTCAGAATGTCTTTTCAACTCTCATTACTTATAATCTAATTTGATATTTCTAGATTAAATTTCTAGGTTTTAACATTCTCTATTGGTAGGTTGGCTACAATTGCAACTCCTTCTTAAGTTGGCAGGCCTTACTATCATATGTAGCTAGCTCCTTGTCCCTTGTGTGCACTGTCAGGAGGAGGAGTTGTAGCGGCAATGCTTGTTAATAAGACAGAATTAAGTGTTGCTGTGCTTTCCCAAATGAGGCCCCATCTCTCTCTTCATCTCTGTGGTGCAGCCACAGAGAAGCTATTCATGCAGGCTGAACTAAAGATGTTTTCTTTTGATAAGGGACAGCTCCCAAATGGGGATGCACTTAGCTAAGCCTGGCTATCATGATCAATGGTCATCCATTGGCGCCTATCTGTCTAGGGAGTGTCAGATGGACATCTGGACTGCATTCCTAAGTGTCAGGAGTAAGTGACTCATATCTCACCTTGATCAACCAATCAGGAACTGGTAGGGCCGAGTAACCCACGTGGGTCTCTGATGCCCATTAAACTTTCAGCCAATGAACAAACTGAAGTTCGTCAAGGTAAAAACAGACAACACAGAGCTCCTGGTAGGACTTTTCAGTAGGAGAATCTCTAAGGAGAATTCCAGGGGTGCGAGACAATTCCAGGGCAGGACGACCCAGGAGCAGAAAGGCTCCCAAGGGCAGGACATTCTCGCAGTGCGCCTCCTGACCATCCTGAGACTCAGCCCGGACAACCACGGAACGGCCAGTGTGTCCGAGTGCCAGAACTTTCCTTTGTTCTAAGAGTCTAGAGCGGAGGTTGCCTCGAGTAACCAGAGGATCCACCCGAGGTTAGCATCAGCAGCAAGCCTCGTGAACAGGTCAGAACTGTGGACAGCTGAATCACTATTCAGAACTAGCACTTCATCAGGAACGAACCGGTCCTCTTCCTGACCTGCTGGGACCCACAGTCATCTTTTCTCCTGAGCACAACTTTGCTAGTTAAAGCCAACACTAACTAGCGAGTCTTCAGAGATCATCAGCAGAGCACCGTCGCAAGCCAAACAGCACAGCCTGGCACGCAGCCAGAGAGAGTGGACTGGACAGCAACAAGCCTGCAACTGTTTCTTTGTGCCCACAGGAGATTTGAATCCCCAGAGATTGGATGAGTATTCAACTTCACTGCATTACTGCTCGAGAATTCAATTGTTATCCCAACCAGTTGATATCAATTTAATTCCTAGGAGTTATTTACTTGTTTTGAGTATCTAATGTAGAAGTTGTAACCAAGTTCAATTACGAAATGGTCTAAATGAATGATATACTGAACGAATGTCCTCTTGATGTGTAACTCTTCGTAACTGACTGAATATATACCTTTTGTATTCTGATAACCCTCTCAATAAGATCTGTTAGGTTTACATGCATATTCTATGTATTAATAAATGTATCCTCGTGTATTAGTACCTGTGTGTGTGCGTTGTTTGAGTTATATCGCATGGTTGGATTCTAAGGCCATTAAACGAATAAATTTCGTGATTTACTGCTACAATTAATAATTGTCCCAGTAAATGCCCAAAGCCCTACATAACTGGTGCCTCATGAGAGCACACTACAGGGTTAATATTATTGGCAAACTTTTACACATTTTGTGAATGCCTTGACATATGTAGGTTTTGAAAGCAGGAAAGGCTGTACTTAACTTTTACTCAGGAAACCCAGGTTCCCTTGAAACACAGAATAGCAAGGTTCTCTCTGGCAAGGTTCAAATAAGTAGCTCCAATCAGGTTTTGTTTGGATGATCATGAAGTAAGAGGTCTCGCCTGGCCTGGCACAAGTTCCAACTCGTCCTGACTCCTCTATCTCTTGTGATCACACCTTCTTTCTTTTCTTTCCCTCCTCTCTACTTCACCTTTTCCTCTTCTTCTACCGTGGTCTTAATATGATCTTATATTGTGTGTTTCTGGACTGCTCATTGACCCAAAATTTAATTAACTAGGTAAACCAAGGTAAACTTTACAACTGTTTTGATCACAATATTGGGACTCCTTACATCTCAACAAACATCCCCTCTGATTTGAAACTAAAAAATATGTACAATGCTGGGTGATACCGTATAAATGTCTGACCCTGGGCTCTGACCCCAAGCTTCTCTCTCCCCGTCTGTGTGCCTGTGTGTCTCTTAGAGAGCAAGCTGGGGTATGCGAAAAGAAAAATTCCTAATGCAAGAAATTGTAGATGGCTAATACAGTGATCTTATCTTACTTTATCTAAAATCTTTGAGACATTTCCTAGTCACTTACAGCTGTAACAACATAGCAATAGCAATTTTAGAAATGATACAAAAAATTGTTTCTTAGGAAGCCCAACACAACAAGATCCTTAGATATTTTGAAATAATTTGTTTTTTCACTCTTGCTTCATTGTCTGCCCTTGCCATATCAGTTTTTGTTCAACATTTGAACTTCTGGCGTATTCTCAACAGAGTATTCCCAACTCTGGCTATATATCCCCTAATGTGTTATAATATGCTACTACCCTTCTTCCCTACTAGAACAAATGGTCTTGGGACCTTCCCATTCACCTGGAACAGTAAAGTCTCAAAAGACTCATTCATGGAACAGTATGGTCTTGAGGATGTTGCACAGAAGAGCACATCTGAAAAAGTGCTGTTTCTGTGGGTGTCCTTTGTGAGTTTACTATGGGTCAAGGAGGCTCCAGTGGGTGGGGATTATCTCCTTGAAGTAAGGGAAATGGGGCAGAATTAGAATTGATAATGTTAAAATGTGGGCCAGAGAGTCTTTGGGGGACATCACCAGGGAGTTATTTGGTGAACTTTATTTTTTGCTTAAGAAAGTAAGCATATATTTTAAGAGAAAGCATATATATTAGGAGAAATAGAAGTAAGTGATTGTGAGAAGCTATCATTCAGTGTCTATTTAGGAAGCCATAACTACAGAGAATTGATGACTTGATAAGCTACAGATCTGGGCAGTCCTATTTAAATGGCATGTCTTACCTCTCTAGAGGAACTGCATGGTTTCTCAGAATGCTGAAGGACTACAATTTCTTTCTCAGGGACCAAACAAAATAGAAAAAAACAGCACTGGTGTGAGCACTACTGAACTCTAAGAAAAAGCAGAACAGTTGTGTGAGTGGCATCACTGGGAGAGGATTGGTTTGTGTGTGGATAGAGTCATGGTGACGCTATTGGCTGGGAATACCACAAAGAAGGAAACAATTTTAGTAATGTAATCTTTTCTCCTGCCAAGTCATGCACACGTGAATGTGAAAGAAAAGTGCTTTGTGAAAAGTGACTGTGAAAAAATAGGATGTGAAGACATCAGTGGTTGTTGAGCCAGAAGCACACTGGGAAGTTGTGAAGCAGCTGTGAGACATCAGACAATGAGACTCATCAGGAGTCCCTTAGTGATTTTAGAGGAAGGCTGAGTTGGAATTATTATTCTCCTGGTTCTATCAGGTGCAACCAGAAGAACCCCAGTTCTAAGTTTTCTAGAGTAGTGGAGATGACCTGTCCAGGCAGTTCTCTAGCTCTTTGACATAGTAAGGACAAAGAAGGACCCTATTAGGTGTGAGTACATACAAGATTGTGAGTTGTTCAATAAAAATAATGTTTGGGGGCTGTGTAGTGTGAAAGAGAAAGAGTGTTGTGAGTTGAGTGTGAGAAGACCACATACAGTACAGTACAATTGGGCCCACAATGACTTTAGCCAGGGGTTGGGGCCCTTCTGTTACAGTGATGTTATGTACATCCTCGTTTTACTGCACATCTGTGTTTTTTTTTACTTGGTGGATATTTTCTATAACTCAGATTAGCATATATAACAGACTTGCTCTATGTTTATCATGGGTATAGGAATGTCTTATTTGTTCCAAGAAATTTGAAAAATAATATTTAATTCATATTAATTTCTGCTATTATTTTTTCCAGTTGTAAGATTTATTTTTCTGGTCACAAATGTTAAGTCAAACCTTTTCTAGTTTAAAAAGCACTGTCATATTGTGTTATTACAGAAAAGACAATAGCTTCTTCCCTTTGCTGACAAAACGAACTTATCCCAAAACATACATTAAAAATTACAAAATACACATATATGTGTCCCGTAGCATTAAAAACATAGGACAAAAATAATAAAGAACGCATAAAAAGTAAAAATTAAACAGGATGTAAATCCAGGAACTTTATGTTAAAATGTCTATCTTGTATTTTTTTCCATAATGGAAGCAATGCACTTCTGATCTCTTGGATTGCATAAAAGAAATAAGTACAGTACTCTATCAGTAAACATGTTGACTTGTGGGTTACATTTTGTGGTTTGAGGATTAAATTATGATCACAATGTAATCCTTTCTTAAAATAAAATGTTTTACAGATTCTAATAAAGGAGTACACTGAGTCTGTATTACAGGTTTAGTGTAGTATAATAAGGTCAGCAATACCAAAAAATAAAAATTAGTAACATTAAAATGTTATCAACAAATACAGCAATAAAACTGTATGACGCTATTGACATACATGCATTTAGTAAATGTAATTAAGGCTGCATTCATTTAAAACACCAATTATTTCCTCAGCTGTTAGAACATTGTCTGTCAGTGAAAGTAAATGCCAATGACTACATTTCACCACTATCAGTACTCAGCTGTTACTACTGTATGACTTTTTCTGTTTTTGCTACTGTATAGCATTTGCCAAAGAGATGCAACTGAGGAGTCAGATTTATCCACCCTTATTTAGAGTACATATTTTACATTTTAATACTTTCTTTTTTTCTCCAGGTTTGTACACTGGTCCAGGAAGTAGCGGTACTAAGCAAAGGCATGAAAAATTTGATGTTTTTGCTTGAAGGATTATTATCTACCCCGAAACCTCCAGTATTTTGCCATGGTCATAATACTTCAATGGAAACTAACATGACATGGACAACCCAACAGTCCTGCATTCATTCTCAACCTGGAAACGTTGCCTGTTCCTCGGCACAGTTTTCTCAAAGCAACACAATACCCAATGTTTTGGAAATTGATTTTTTGCAGAACTCTAGCAGTCTGCATGGAATAAGCCAGATTCCTCAGAGACTGTCAGAGAATGAATTATTTTATTCTACGGCAACAGTAAGTACACCTTACCACTTCCAAACAACACCCCAAGGTAATCATTTACAATGTGTAAAATGTACTTTGCCACAGATAGACACAACATTGAATCCACTTCAGTCTATTTCTGCCACACTATCTTCGTCTGTGAGTTCTTCACCAGAATCTTCATCAAAGTTGCTTCATAGCACAGAGGACAGTATCAGCTCTCATCATGGTGCTACAAGGTCACATAGTCTGGAAAACTTGCCCCTTTCTTGGAATGCTGTGGGAACTATTTCTGCTTCTTTGCAAAGTCCAAGAAGATTGCCGCTAGAGTCTCCAGTTGAGCTTAAGGATGAAAAAAATACAACTTCATAGCGAGACATGTTGCTTGAAGTATGTCCCACAGCTTTGAGTTATAAAATATGTTAATTTTGCATGACCTTTTTTATTCTAAGGCCTTCTGCTAGTAAATTAGAGTTAAAACAACAGGAGACATAACTTTAAGTGAAACAATGAAAGGCATATAAAATATATGCTGTTCATTTTGCAGAATGCAATCTTAAGAAGCATGTTAAAAGGGTTTGACTGTAGCTTTAAGTTATATAGACATTTCAGCACGGATAGTAGTATATTGACTGGGTTGACATTGTATCTAGTTGCCTGAAGACCACACGGGTCAGAACAGCAGGATGTTCTAGTCAAAAGAACACAAAAATTACTATTTTTAGTGGGATGTATTGTCTGCTTTTTAGACAATGTCCCTGAAGATTTTCTGTAGCTCTTTTTGCTGCAGGTGATCAGAGCTCCTGCTGGTGTGCTTGTCATTTCTGACTTGGCAATGGGACAATTAGCACTGCATGCCACCTCCTAGACAATCAACCAAATAGAACCACTAGACAAGTATTAGACATTGCATGTCACATTCTCATGTAAATCAAACTTTTCGTTTATTTATTAAAAGAAAATGGCTATTTTTATACACTTGGTATGAAACTGTATTTATGCTACTGAAATGATTTGTAACACTTGATTCTTTTTAGTCAAAGCTTGCCATGACATTCAGCACATACTGTATACTCATGTAAAGATACTGTAGAGTAAAGACTGTTAGAAACTGTAGATTAATATTGAGTCCCTATGCTGCATGCTAAAAGGAATGCATCAAAGATCAGAACAGGAAGTTAAGGCAATATTTAATTAAATGTTTTAATACTTACAATGCAATGAATGTATGTATCATGTGTATTATTTGAATTTTACAAGTTTGCTTAAGTTAAAGAGCCATGACAAAAACTGAATTTTATTTTCCAAAATCAATGCAATATTAAATCCAGTGTTATTGAGTCCACAATTTCAGTTTTTGAGGTGCTCATAATTTTACTGTCTTGCATCTCTAAAGCTGGGCTGTTGAATAATCTTTTAAGGATAAATGTTCATTTACAGTGTAAATTAAGTGCTGTTTTTATTTGTCTAATAGGCTATGGATAAAATATATTGAAACATTAAAGGGTATCCTTACATCTATGACTATATTTAATGCCATCTCATCTATAAAATTAAATATAATAAAAACGTCTTCTCAAAATATCTTAATGTTACTTAGATGCAGTTTATTTCTTGGGTTTCAAAAGAGTCTTTCAAACACTACTGCACAGAATAATGTGTTAAAAATGAAATTACTCACATACAGTATCATGACATACAAACTGCTTGAATAGCCTTTGGTAAAGCACTAGAGTGCTGCCATGAAGTCATTCTTTAAAAATTGTACTCAATAAAGGATAATCAAGTAAATCTCTGACTCTTTTTGTAAATTTCAATGTAAAAACCTTCACAGTTAAACTCTTGCCATACAAAAGTACAAAGATGAGTTAGGAGAGTTTTGAAGCAACAGTTTGTGGAGATATGAGACAAAGATAAAAGGATTATGAAGGTTAATGTGTAAAGAATGGAAGTAACTGTGTATGCTCCAGAAAACACTACCACTTCTGCGATGTGTGACCTCAGCTGGCCATGCATTCATTCATGATCACAAATGCAATTGCTTAACTGTTAAGCAAAAACAAGTTTTGACTCAATATACAATATATTTTGTATTATGATGCATGTTTTGACATTGTAGAAAGGTTAAAAATACTTATGGTTTAAGCAAAAATACTCTAAATGGAATGGTATTATGTGATGGGTTGAGGGAATAGAACCCTATTTTTACTAACTTTTATATCAATACTGAAACAATTTTAGAGAATATTACAATTGCAATATGATAATTACAAACATACAGTATTGTCTTACTGTTAACTGTCTGTCCTTCAAAATTACTGGTGAAAAGGGAGAATGAAGATTCAGAGGAGGCCAAAGACACAAGTGAAGAGTGAATCACAGGTGACCTTTTATATTCTCTGAAAGGGCACCTTTACACTTCTTTGAACTGATACAATCCCCCTCTCCAAGCAGTACAGAGAGTCCAGGACATGCTGATTTCCTTCTTGTTTGTTCCTTCCATATCACTATCTCTTGTCATCTGTCAGCATGACCCTGCTTTATTCTCTGCTTGAGAGTATAATGCATAGTTCTTTACAATGCTACTGTATGATCATTCTTAATAGAATTTGTTCTGTGTTTTTAAAGACCCAAGAGAAACTACGTACAATATAAATGTAAGATTGAGACTACAATAGGTTTAGCAAGGTGTTGAAGTTTGAGTGTTGCATAAAGAAGCAAGAATGAGATCTTCTTTCATCAATAAACATACTGTATACATTATTTTATGAATCACACAATGCATTTGCCCTGCATGATGTCTTTTATATACAAATGAACACTGAATCTATTCATTCTAAATTTCTAACAGCATTATAGAAATTATATAGTCATGTTGTGGAGAATATAATGAAATACAAGTTTTTTATTTGTGTTATACTAATGAAGTTATACATTAAAAACTTATCTTACCTACCATTGTGTTTCTAAATTTTAAGAGAATATACTGGAACTTTATGGATTACGTTTTGAAAATGAGAACATAAGAAAAAATAGTTTTTTACATTTGATTTGGTTTTCTATCAACTAGCATCCCTGTTATTTTCTCCTAATCCATTTAGGAAAATAAATATTGCACTCAGATGTCATTGAAATACACCCCTAACATGATGCACTAACATAACACTTACTTTCCATCATAGGAAATCATTCCTGTAACCCCTGTTCAAAAATTGTATAAAAGCTTGAGGCAGTAAGAGACTTTACCACCATAGTTAAACAGATGGTAGGATTTATGAATAATCCCCATAGTGTTTAAACACTAATAAATTATTTACATGAAGGTTTGGTGTTTTTTTCAGATTGGAATAGGTTTCATAAGGTTTCATATTTACAGCATATACAGTATATATGATATTATATACTGAATCTATATCATACGTGAAGAGGACCTGATGCCATAGTTGACGAGTCCATCACAGCCTCTGTCTGGTCCAAGCCATGACGTCTAGGAGGTGCGAGCAGAGGGCCACCGACAGGTCGCCTTGCTATAAGGCCAGCAGCATGGAGCCTCACTGTCCTGTCACTGATGCAGGCATTGTGTCTGCTGGCAGTTACAGCAGCAGTACAGGTGGCAGATCTGAAACAATTTCTCAGATGGACCAGTTTGATGTTCACTCAAGGGCAACCGGATCTTGGACGGTAATCAGTCCTGCCGGTCTGCTGTAACCTCTGCAGTCGGGACACAGTGGAGCGGCTTACTCCATAGTGTCTGGCAATGCTGGCACATGACATGCCCGCCCGCAGCATGCCAATAGCCCTCTCCCTTGCTTCTGGTGACATTTGAGGCATTGTTGAATGCACAGAAAACTGACTAAGTGAAGTATTTTTCTCTCAGTGACCTAAGCTTTGAATTAAGGCCTTTTAAAATGATCTGATCAGATATTGTTTCACCTGGACCTTGTTGGGTAAAAGTTCACCTAACAAGCTTTCGTGTGATTGGCAAGTTGCAATGCCTCACTGCTCAAGCTGTATTGCTGGTCAGAGGGCTTAAAACAAATTGACAACTTTTTGTGAAAGTACATAAGCTATAACTATAGTATTCTCATTCCAGAAAATGTTGCATTTCTTTTTTCTATCAGTATACAGTATATCACTTTCAGAAATTGCACACGGCAAATTTTCAATTTGCTAGTTTGACACTGAATAGAATTGGAATTGGGATTAAAGATTTAATTAGAAGGACCTTCACTATCCCAAACTTGGGAAATTGGCAATATTGCTTCACAACCTTCACCATTAAAAAGAAACAACAGATGCATACAAGTAGGGATTAATAGAACAAATACAACATGAAATCCTACAAGATACAACATACAATACTACAGCAATTAAGCACTTTTTTTTATTAACAATATGTTAGTCTATGACATCAAGCAACAAGCGCGAGGCAGGATACAGCCTGTCCAGGACTCCAGTCTATCGCACAGACAGGCACGAACACACACACTCTTGCCAGGGCCAATCTTCCCAGAAGCCAATTAACCAAACAAGAGCCCGTGGCACGAAGGGAGCAAACTCAAAACCCAAGACGAAAACAACAAGAACGCAGCAAGACAAAAAAAACCACCGCAACAAAGCACCCCAGACAACGAACGAACCCCAGAGCTCAACCAAAGCGAGGCTCCAAGTCTAAACACCGCACCAAGAGGAAACCCAGGAACATAAAAAGAAAAAGCAATAACACAACAAATTATAAAACGCTAACAAAGCAATCTCAACGTAAATGCAATATACAACACCAAAACAATATAAACTATAACACACACAAAGGAAATCAATAGAAATAAGAAACAAGGCAAACAATAATGCAGAACAAAAAACGAAAGGCCGAAAACAATAGGAAAAAAAGGAGGGCAACATGGGGGGACAATGAACAGCAGGGCTGACATGCAGAACAGAAAGCCTAGAAACAATTAAAAAAAAAAGGTGAGACTGGAATATAGCCAGGAAGTTACGCCGCAGTACAAAACTGAACTAGCTAACTCCCCTAGTCAAAAAACAAAACGATTGCAAAAAAAACATCAAACAAAAACAACACATAAGAAAACAAACGACCAAAAAAACAAGAAATCAAAACACTACAAAGCAGGGAAAAGGCAAATAGCAATCAATAAAACAGGATGATGAGGCCACATTTACAAAAGGAAAGACACACGCAAAAGCCCGAAAACATACGACAGCACATGCCAATAACCAGGCCCGCACACGAAACCGCAGAGAAAAAACACAGGAAGCAAGAATACAACGACTAAATCCCCAAAAAGGAGCCCAAAGGCACTGCCAGTGCACACCCACAGCACAGAAAACACACCTGCACATGTACTAATGAACCCTTCCCCGCAGGTATGCAAGGAACAACGCCGACAGAACACCCCCAAACACTAGTGTGATGAGACGGAAAAGAGAGGTCCACAGCATACACAATCCAGAATATGCCACAGACACCAAAAGAAAAAACAAGGACGGCATACCGTAGCCAGAACGGCTGGGGCCAACCGAAGAAAAACGCACCCACAAAGGAGCACAACTCCCAACACAACAACAACAATAATTTAGTCCATTCTGCCCCCACACTGCTTGACGAAGGGGCAGCTCCAGAACACATGCTCCTGCGTGTCCAGAAACATACTGATAGGTTAATTGGTTAATTTCTGGGAAAACTGTGGTCTGTAATGAACTGGTTCTCCACCCAGGGCGTACTTTGCCTTGTGTCTGTTGCATGCCAGGATGGGCTCTGGCTTCCCTGGAACCCTGAACTGGAAGGAGTGGGTTAGAAAATGGATGGATGAATGGTTAAAATGACAGGTGAAGTGGTGGGCAATAAGATGATTAATACATTGTTAGTTCACATTTTTTTGTAAAATGAAAAATGTTTTTTGTTCTTCTTTAATATCTCAACCTACATAATTTATTATCAAAAATGAAAAGATCAGAAAAATATTTTGCATATTTTTTTTAATCTTTGACCTCAATTTTAGCTGTTATGAATAATATATGCTATATACAGTTTGGGATTTATTTCTCTTAAGAGCAGGAGTGGAATATCCCTTTGAAAATCACTGGGTAGCATAATCAGTTTGGCACAAGCTAAAAGAAAGCATACAGTATGAAAGCAGTGATCCCCATTCACACTGCAGTTATTTTGATCAATATAACTTATTTTTGCCAGTCTAGTCTAGAGTCTGTATAACAGTTAAAGATGAAGACTTTTTTGTAGAATTTCACCTAGGACAGAAAGTTCTTCCTACTTATGAATACTTTCCCACTTGGCAAAATGGCAAGGCCTCTGTAAAGTTGTGCACAGTGTAGGCCCAGGAAATTATTAGCTTTACTGGGAGGAGACATGAGAAACAGGTTTATTGCATCAACTTGCTGAAGCACTGGGAGGAGACCACACCTGTTAAACTGTAAAATATACTGTACCATAACATCAAGGATGAGCATCAGGATGAGGCATTTCCAAGCAGTTCTGGCTACTCTCATTGTCAATTCTAATATTGTCAATTCTAATTCAAATCTTACTGTCTTCGAAGCACAAGTAGTCCAGTGCTCTTAATTTGCACATTTTTGTATCACACGCATTAAAAATGTACCTTTTTTTTCCCTTCACACCACACACCAGGGCCAATTTATATGGAAGCCAATTAACCTACCACTACTTCTAAGAGTGTTTGAGGAAAGT